TGGGGATTGTAAGTCTACTGACATTTACAGAAATTGCTAGTATCTTAAAGTGCGTCCATGCTGAGCCTGTTAAATTCATGATGTATCTTTAACTTTTTGTCTCAGCCACCCCACCCCACCCTAAAACCATCTCCTCCAAAAATTAGCTTTTATTTTTATCTTTTATTACATTTCAGAACTTTAAATAAATCTATGCGATCACTCATCTTAAATGTTGTTATACAGCTGCTGTCATTAACCTGTATTTATATTAATTTTGTTGATCATATAATAATGATTTGGTTAGCTGTCATTCCCACTCCTTACCAGAAGATGGCTGTGATGTGCAGTTCTGTTGTTTGCCAATAAGTGAAAAGAACTTGGACACACAGTTTTCAAATCAAAACGACGTTTTAAAAGATGTAGACGTAGTCTCATATGTGCGTCTATCTGGCTATATCATATTCACAGCTTGACTCACTAATCACTTACAACTGATCAGAAGACGCTGGTAAAGTCTGTTTTAAAAATTTTGGATAGAGACATAAAATGTAGGTCATCTTAAATGTGTTATTTAATCTAAAGATAAAGAATCACCTGCTTACTCTTGGTTACATTCTCGCATTTAAATCATGCAGCAAAATCTGCACTGCATCAGCCAACTGGTTCGCACTCAAAAAAAATAGTCCCTTTTGCAGTGTATTTATTTTTTTGGAATACACAAGAGAAGCACAAACTCTTTGGCTGACGCCTTATCCTTTCTGCTTGTTACTCCTCTGTATAATAAAAGAATAAAGACTGTAAGTGTGAGCTGGTTTAACTTTAGTTTGAATCCAAAGATGTATAAAAAGAAAAGCTATTTTATAGGATGACTTAATTAATTAAATCACTTTCATCTTTGCAAGAGGAATACTTTTAATTTAGTGTTTAGTTTGTGTGGTCAGGAAGCTCAGTTTTAACACTCAAAATGAAGTGCCAAGCTGTTGAAGTGGTCGCTGAACCCATTTAGTTGACTTTAATGTTGGAGAGGTGAACATCTACAGTTTCCGGGAAACTTTGGTGGGCAATATAACTTTATTTCTGAATTCATTCATCCATATATGTCAATAAGTATGGCTTTTCCTGGCAGTAATTCATAGGGGATGACCATCATTGCCCACATAAGTGCTCAGATGCTTTGGGGCGCCTCTTTTTGAGGTCGCTATTTCCCTCTGTTCCATTAGTGCTAAACCGCTTACAGCGCTAACCTCGTGTGCATGATCCATGTGGGAGCTGCAGGCTTGGATGAATGGATATGGGAGCATCCCAGGAAAAATGATGATATACTGACATGTTATCGGAACACCTATCTCCATGTATATACACAGGCACACCATCGCTGCCAAAAATAGTAAACAGGGCAATCAAATATTTAGATTCAGGCTTACTACCGGATTATTTTTGCACACACTCCCAGTATCCACTTCATTTTATCCGGTACACTTCCCCATTTATGCAAACAGCTCACTCCTTTGGACAATGAGTTACTTATAAATAAAACATAAATATCAAGAATGCAGACAGGGTTGAGAGCTTCAGTTATCGTCCGACTGAACGTCAGATTAGGCAAGATGCAGCTTTGAATACAGCATGAGGCTTGCAACATAGTAGTGTCTGGAGATAGTGTGGTGATAAAAGTAAAAGAAAAACAAGAAAAGAAATCAAATCAGTAGCATGTTGATGAGAGAGGTCAGAGGAGCTCCTTCAAAGTGACAAGTAGACAAAACTGATTTTTCCAGCCTGAGTTTTCCATAGAGATCAATGCAGGCAGTGTGTCAGGAAAATAAAATTGGAATTGGCCCAGTGCAACTTTCTTCAGGAGTTCAGAACTGCAGGGTAGTTTAAATATTAAATATAAATGTTGTTTTCTTTATTGTTGTATTAGTTAATAGGCTATATTATTCATTGTGTCATGCACATAAAGTCACCCAGCCCTAAGAATATAACTTATTACAATGCAAAGACGTTTGTCTCCTCTCCCAAGCTCTATTAATGAAATCAACCACTTAAAGGTCCCTTATTTCCTGCTTTATATCATCTATCCAGAAGAACTTATCAGAAATGAAGGGCATTTTACCAAAGAGTGTAGCCCTCAAACGATAACATAATGAGCAGTTACATGCCAATCTCACCTAAATAGAGAGACACATAGGATGTAAGACCTGTTGACAATCCAGTGCAATATACATTTTAAAAATGCAAAAAGTACTTTTTTTTAAAAAAAAAATTTTGCATGGTTTCTTTTGAAGGTTACTTCACGTAAATGTGTTTGAAGATTTCAGCGATTCTTCCGGTCAAAGGTGATAATGTTAAAATATTGTACAGCGTGGTATTTTTTTCAGTGACATCTACAGTATTTATGTTTGTATTCTAGCTGACAAAAGCTGTCCTCACCACTTTCTGAACTGGAATCTGAACCCAGATTAGATTTTTTTTTATCAATTTAGATATATTTTTGTTATAGCTTCCTATGTCCATATAGTGTTGAGAGAAACATATCTATGTCAGTGTATGTTAATAGAAAAATATAATACATATATGCTATTTTGGATATTGTCAGATATATTTATGTATTTGCTATATTATTGAGTCCCACTCTTTGGGAGTTTTCATTGTTCTTGAATTGTTAATTGTTTTGACATGTTTATATCCCTGTGTGAGTTGGACAGTGGTTCCCATTTTTATGTATTTTGACCTGAGCAAGATCCAAGTTGTCCATTTAAATAAATTGGTGGTTTGGAGTTGCTGTGTAGATGTTCGCATCATTGTATCTTCTCATGTGATGCTGATTTCCGATTAGCCTATAGCACCAATATGTGATGGGCATATGACAGAAAAAAAGAGATGTTAAAGATGGATGAGAGATACTTATGAGATGCTGTGGCAGGAGGAGTCAGCAGATGCAGTGACTGAGTGGGGGGCAGGGAGACCCAGGTTGGTGGACTTCATGCATGCCTGTCTGCCTCCATCATGCTCATGTGAACAGCAGGCGCTCCACAGGATGTGTCATGTCATTATTCACCACCAGGGGCCAATGAGCAAAGAGCAGCAGGATGTTTCTAAACAGTGTTTTCCTCGTGTGAGGGAAGTCCTGAAGTGTGTGTGTGTGTGTGTGTGTGTGTGTGTGTGTGTGTGTGTGTGTGTGTGTGTGTGTGTGTGTGTGTGCACGTTAACATCCTTTTGCATTAGCCTGTGTGTACATTAGAGAGAGGGTGAGTGAGTGGGGGTGTGAGAGGGAGTGAAGGTGAGCAAATGAGCAAGCAAGAGAGAATTTCTGTGTATGTGAGAGCTCGACATCCCTCTGAGGTATTTATAGCATTGTTTTTCAGCTATCTTCAGCAGAGTCTGTTTTCCAGTCTGAGCGTGGTACGGGTCTCTCATGCATTTCTCAATCATATATCCTATGGAGACTCGTGTAAAACACACACACACACACACACACACACACGAAAGCATTCAGTTGCTTCTGCTCTAATGGCCAGCCTTCACAGGGCTCTGATTGTCCCAAGCAATAAATCATTTTCACTTGCAACATCTGAAATATTCATTCCATGTTAATCAAGCACTACTTCCTAAATACAGACACATGCAAAGACACACACACACAAATACACACATACACTATACATTCACTCAGCAGTGTGTGAGACAGACTGGGACCCTGCATGTCTGCGGTGTGTGGGAAACCTTATAACCATTTTACTAATGATGTCGTGATGTAGTTGCCTCTCGTTTCTTTTAATATAGCACACAAACTTGCTAATGCCCGATCTATAGGAACAAAGCTGACGTGCCGTGAATGTCAGCAAAAGCAAGATTTTCATTGCATGTTTGACTCACTTCACTGGAACTGTGAAGTGTTTTTATCTGTTTTACTTTTCTAAATACCATGACCTGAATGACTGAGAATCCTCACAAGTGTAAAGTAAAAAAAAAAAAAGCAGTCATTGAAAATAATAGCACTCTCACTTCACTGAAGTGAGACCAAGAGTCTACAGCCATGCTAAATACTAATGTCAACATGCTAACCATGCTAACATGCTGACATTGCATCTCAGTTTAGCATGGGACTAGATGACATGAAGAGATCACCAAAGTTATTATCATTCATCCTGCATAAATGAGTGTGCCAAACTTCATGGCAATTCATCCAACAGTTGTTGAGACATTTCACTCAAAACCACAAATGTCAACCTCATTTTGGCGCAGTGAATTCATCTCGGAGTCATCATCTGGGGACCATAAATATCTTCTCAAATGGCAAACTGACCAGTGCTTGTTGAGATATTTCAGTCTAAACCAAAATGGTGGTCTGACCGACAGACAATCATTGCCATCCATTGAAAAAGCATTTGTTTCTTAGAGGTGGCCTGTAAGGCCATAGTCCAGGACTGTAAGAATAATCAGGCCCCGAGTCAAAGCTCCCTCCCTCAGAGGCAACAAAACAGTCTTTAACATTTTACTTACTTTATTCATTTAGTTAGCTGTCAAAATGTATTCCTGCACATTAAGTTTAAATTGAGCGGTTCTGTCAGGGACATTCATCAGGTGCTGATAAACTTAAAAACAGCATAGTGTTTTCCAGGAAACATTATAGAGAATTATCAGGGAATTACAGATCCATAAAATAAAGCTTCACCACTTTATTTCCCAGCATGAATGTTGTTTCGACAGCCTCTCCACACTTCAGGCAATGAAATTCTTACAAAAATTAAGGATTCAGTATTTTTCTATGAGTCTTATTGTAGTCACATTTAAATACAGTCTAAACGTAGCCACCATTTGTAAGTTTTTAGCCCTCCTGCCCCCCAGGTTGTCTTTAATCATAGCTATGGTTCTAGTAGCCAGTGATTGGAAAAGCAGAATCTCCTGTGAAATGTGTCATCTTGTCTCCTCTTCAAACATTCAGGTACAAGTCTACCTGTGCTAAAACTGAAAGTATATTTTTAACTCTCTCCATTCTTTTCGCCCTTCCCTCACAGATCCCAGTCATGACGGGAGCCTTCATGGACTCGTCACCCAATGACGACTACAGCGGCGAACACTCACTCTTCAACTCCTCGGCCAGCGTCCACGCCGCTGCCTCAGCTGCCTCGGTACAGGGCCAGCAGGATGAGTCGCAGTCCATGTCCAGTGACGCCATCTGGCTCTGGATCGCCATCGTCGCCACTATTGGAAACATTGTGGTGGTGGGCGTTGTCTACGCCTGCACTTTCTGATTCGCATATGCTTACAAAGACAAACTGGCACACATCCCGCTATTTTCTGGATCTCTGGACCCCTGAGTGAGGCCATGCTTTGCAGATATACATCCTCTCTCTCTCTCTGGCTCCCTCTCTCTCTCTTTCTCTCTCTCCCTCGCACTTGGCTTTTGGATCAGTTTGAGCCCCTGAGGAGGGTGTGGAAGTTGTGATACTAGACAATGATATAGACTACTATATTTCTTCATCAGAGGGAAAGACTGGGACTTGGCTGCATTTGTTGGCACCAAGTGATTTTGGGCACAACCAGAAGTTTGAGAAGAAGCTTTTGTGTAACAGCTCTTTAGTTAAAAACAGAAAAAACCGACCTGTGCTCTCAACCAAGAATCAAAAGGAACTTTTTCTCTTTTCAGCTTAAGTTTGTTTCCATGTTTCTCTTCAGACAACACCCTCACTTGTAATGCAGAGAGAAGAATGGAGATTAAATGGGGCTTAAGATTCGGGTTGATCCGGGCCATTTTAAACATGCACCAGATAGTTGCTAAGCAATTTAGGCCAGTGCTGTTTAATTATGCGACTGAACAGAGATGGTGAATGTTAAAACATTTAGAAAGTACTGGGATTATTTTCATGTCAGGCAGCCCAAAGGGCCATGACGGTAGAGCTCATTTAAGGACTTATTTGTGAATGAAACATAGTATGGACACTGATCATTAGTGTATATAATATGTTTCTACACAATTTCACTGACAGGAAACTGAGAACAGGACAATGATTGACATCAAACTTTCTTTGATACACACTTAAAAGCTCATGAAAATGTTTTCTGCAATGTTAACTCAATTACACATGATGAATGATGACCTTATAATTAGGTTTTGTGTAAAAGTCAGCCCCCTTTCAAATGAATGGTCTCATTGTCAAATACCGTCAAATAAGTGATATCCACCAGGGATTATTAGAAAATCTAATTGTATTGTCATGATCTGTCCGGTTATGTATGAATATTATCTACAGATGTTAACAAAATAGAACTAGAAGCACAAATTAAATCAAACACATGTAGCCTTCTTTACTTGTTCACCCTCTGTAGTTGTTTTTTCTCAGTGAGTACAGCTTGTAAATTTTTTTTTTTTTTCATCACGCAGAAAAATTACTGGCAGCAACAGAAGATGAAGATATAACAGATGTTAGGGCAGATGTGGGAAAATGCTAAATGTAGCCTATGTCTCCAGAAGTAATGTAACACTGACCAGATCTCTAGTGAACTTTGTGGTAAATGTATACCAATGTGAGTGGGGAGGTGATGCCTCCTGTGTCAAATGAAATTTAGTTTTTTATTAAGCTACTGGTCAGCGAATTATTTTTGTGTTACTGTGGAATCTAATTGGGAACAATAACTTTACTGTCAGTCTCAAGCATCAACCTGCATCCACAGATGCATATATATATATAGCTGGTAGAATTTGACTTTAAGTCTGCCAACTGATGTCTGTGCTTTGCTGACAAAGTTTTTTTTTTTCCTTTTTATGACAACGGGATAAAAATACTAATAATTTAGGTTTTTTTCAAATGTGTGCTCAAAGTCAGCAAGTTGTTTTATCTGTCAACTGGTCTTTCTTTACCTGACAAACTAACTGATCGATATATTTAGACAGACTGATCTATATATTTAGACAGACGCTTAGACAGAAGACTCTTTTTTTCAGTGACAAATATTTCTCCTGGGATTTAGATGACAACATCAATGTGCTTAAGATTAAAGGATACCAACCTGTCTTGTAAACACCATATCTGTTCAAATGTTCATACACTGCAACAAACAATACTGGCTTATTGTATCAACTGTACCGTGTAAGGAGAAATTCAGACACTAATCTCTTGTTATGAGTGTAAGTAGCCTATACGATGTTCAAAGACAGACTTTTCAAGCCTGTTATTTTTAATAAATGGTTGACGTAGAAATATTTAGACATGTTGTAAACCACATACACAACGCTCCTTTTGTAAAGACATGCTACTATTAAAATTTCTGTATCAATACACATTGGCTCTTTTATCAACAGAGACAAACATTCATGTCCACTGAACCAGTTCATCAGGGCCCAAAGTGTCAGGTGAAGAATGATGCGCTGGGAGCACTGGTGGCTGAATGGAAACTTTTGGCTCCCCCATCGTCGGTGTTTGATGATGCGAGAATGTGTCTAAGCTCCACGTTTTCTCCGCCCGAGTCACCTGGCTTTGGTCCTGATGAAGCAAACCCACTGGCAGACATCAACGGTCGCTGCTGAGCATCAGGTGAGAGCGAAGCTAAGCGTCAATGGCGCCAATTTGTCATTTTGACACAGGCTCAGGTTGTTTAGAAACCACCGGGATTCACTCCTCTGTGGATCCCCGTGCACCTCTCTCCGTCTTCATATTCCTTGTGTTGAGCAAACAGGACGACTACGCAGGAAGTAAAGACAACTCACAATGTTAAAACTCTGTACTGTAACATGGTCTTGTTTACGTAAAAAAAAAAAAAAGGCAAATAATTTCCAAAGAAGTGCTTCTGAACATTTCTGGGTACGGTTGTTACATTTACCTACGGTTGTATGTTCCACCAGTAGCTAAAATTACTTTAATTGATGAATAATAAGTGAGTTAACATTTCTGTGATTACTTGTGTAGGTGTTTGGTGATAAACCAAAGTATTTTAACAAATTTATTGTGGTACTATGCTGCTATTGTGGCTAAAATCTTAGCTTTAAAACAATGTGTAGTTTGACTTAACACCTTTACTGAGATCCCAGCAGTCACAGGTGCTTTTTATAACCATAACAATTATATCCAGAGTGACCCTGTCACCCAAGGGAAAAGCGATGTCAAAAACATTTAGAGATCACATTCATAATTCCATGAAACTGCACTGCTCAACCTTTACGCCACCTTACAGACTAAATCAGCCCGTTCCCCACTGAAAAGGCAGCTTGGTTTGATAATATATGGATCATCTCCCTTTCAATCCGCCATGGGCTTTTCTGATCCCCCCCCTCGGCAGACAAGATAAGAGATGGAAGTGAAGTCAGCTACGCATGATCTTCGAACAACCTTCACATTGCTTTCACTGCTTGTTGTGTTTCCTCTGCGTATGATCAAACGACTTGACTGTGAACAAAAATAAAAGCCCCAGGGGTCTTGGAAACAGTCTCTGACTCCTAGAGGGAAAGGAGCCTCATAAAATCCCTCAGAAAGAGGAAGATCAGATGGATAACCAGTGACCTTGCCTGGGCTAATCTGTGCTAATGCATGGTAATTATTAGACTTGCAGGTGATAGTTTGCGAGAAACCCACAGTGGCTAAGACTTTGTTTTATTTATGTGGTCCGTGCAAGATGAGGCTTGCTTTGCTTGTGAATAACAGATAATGTTTATTCAAGCTGGGACAAGATTAATCAGTCTGAAAGTATGATGAAAGGGAAGGGAAGGGAAGGATGTGTCACAGGAGGATATAAAGAGCAGTTGACTTACTCCTCCTTTGCTGCCCCTGTGTCTCGAAGGATGTACTAGTTTGGCTCGACTCCTGTCCAGTCGAGAGTGACAGCTTGGTGATGAGGTGCCGGGTATGCTAATGTATGCCAAGCAGCTTAGACACATCTTGTCAAACTGTCTCTTCAGAGAACACATTGGAACGTACAGTGTGTGTCTATACTTATCCCATGCCGTAACAAAAGGCTACACATTATCATCTATATAATGTGTCACATAAATGTGCCAGTAACAGATTTTTTATTTGTGAGAAAGCATCGCAGCAGCTAGCAGAGAGGTAGGGGAGGATATCTATTACATTGCACAAGTGTCTGTGGTTATGTGGGTGTGTGAGGGAGTGGGTAACACTGGAGCTATACTGTATCATCCGGAGCCTGCAGACATCTGTGAAGTGCAGGTTCAACAAACACCTTCCAAACAACATCCATCAATGAAGACAGAATCATGCATAAATGAAAACTCTTTACACACCAACAGCTCACAGCACTGTCTTTCACTTGGTGTCGATGTTAATGTTTTACAATAATTTCACACTGATCTTAATATAATTAGGATTATGATTAGACTTGCTAGCATCATTCAGCTCAGCATCTCAAGAGGAAACTGGCATCTTTTCCTGAAACTGAGAAATAAGAGCTTGTAGCGGTTCTGTGCCTTAATGGTTGGGTAGATTTAATTACATTGCAAATACAGCTGTCAGCCTTGTCTAAGATAAAGTAAAAAATAAATAAATAAAGCCGTCTTTGACAAGTGTGCCACGCAAGCATAGTTTCAGTGATGAAGAAGATGTGGAACAAACAATGTAAAACAAAGCCGTGGACGCTCTATAACTAAATATGGATTGGTTTGAGAGATCAAAAGTTGTAGTATGAACCCAAACTTTGTTTTGAGACCGACACATTTCGGTTTGCAGGCCTTTGTGACTCAGCCACACATTTGAGCCTCAGTCAAACCCAGATGCAAGAGTTTTTGAGGAGTTTGTTGTGCACCAAAATCAGCGACTACAAGACGTATCAGAACGGTAAGATTAACTATTTGTTTTCGTTGTTTGTTAGCTTGTAACTTGCAGTGGCTGCCCTAATGCAAACTCTCGCTCTCTGTACTGACAAGGCTTCGCCGACAGGTGAAAGAGCAGTGTGTATCAAGATGGTTGGCGTTAGAGGAAACACCAGAGAGACTCAGCCACACATTTCAGCCTCAGTCAGGCCTCAGATGAGGAGTCTGTGGTGACCAAAATCGGCGACTAGAAGACGTATAAGAGCGGTAGGCATAGGTATTTGTTTATGTTGTTTGTTGTAGCTTGTAATTAGCAGTGCTCACAGTGTTAGTGGCTGCACTAATGCAAACTCTCACTCTCTGTACTGATGTATGAATCCCTGGCTGTCTGAATGCCTTTTTATGAGTCTGTCGTTGGTTCACTGCAGCTCCATGGTGGAAATACAGTAATGACTGACTGCTTATTTCATGCATGATATGTCTTGTATTACATTTAAAAAAAAACATCATATGAACATTTTAACAAGGTTCTCCTACCGTCATCATATAACATACAGTACATATAAGTAAGTAAGTATTTAATTTTAAAATAATATACACAGCATCAACACATTTCAGAAGTTATCAGCTTTATGTAGCCTACAACTGAAACTTTGGAGAGGACCTGGGTGCAGCTGCTGAGCAACATGACGTTCTGAACTTTCCAGCACTAGTCTGTTCGGGGCCTGAGATGACTTCAGAGCTTTCTGACTTTTTTAAATGGCTGTCCCCTGGTGAATGAGCTCATGGCAGCAGACCACAGTAGACTGAGGATAATGGAGATACATTAGTTTGCTGCAGGTTAATGTTAATTTGTTTTCCATTTTCCTTTTTCCCCATAAGATTTATATCTATTATCAAAATCAATAACGCGCTTTTGATCACAAAGTTTACTGTTTGCGGTCACTTTCACAGAAGAATAGTGATTGCTTGTTCTCATCAACAGCTATTACCCTACAGCTACCCGCTACTTCCCCGGTGTGATTGTCTGATTAAAAACAGGCACTCGTATGGCACAAGATATCAGAGCTCAGTTTTTGATGGTAACTGAGCGCACAGGCATGACTACATGAGGTGTCGTCCGGCTAAACAGAGGTTTTACAGAGATTTCACCAGCTGCCATTGTGTGATTGTCTCCTGATAACATATAAGAGGGAAGAAGGGTTGGTGAGAAAAGGATTTTAGGTAGGCTGCTACCATGGCAACAGCAGGCTGTAATGGATTTGGACAGCACCTTTGGCTTGTGGCAGCCATTTCTGGACCTTGATTTTGTTTGTTTTTATCTTGGGTTTTCTTCTTTCCATTGTGAACACACCCTCGGTCTCTAATGATGCTGCTCATTACAGATGCTTGTCAATCCAGCTAATATCCTGTGATGAGGAGCACACAGAGCAGCACCTACAGCTCTGACTAATCTGAATAATTAAGCAAGATGATAACCCCATGAACAGGATCATTTGTGATGGGATAGCATTAACAATCCCGCTGAAAATTGACACAGGGTGGCTAACTGATGATGTGTATCAATAAGATTCAATTTCTTAATTTCCCCCCAAATCAGAGTCGTAATTGAAAGCTTTCTCACCGACTGTTTTAGTCTTGCTGTTATTTGTTAGGACACAAGACACAGGCCAAATGTAAAAGAAGTCACATGTGAATAATTTCTGCATTACACTTTCCTTTCCACCTCCAATCGCATGGGCACTACTATGCCAAGTGTGGCAGGGAAAAGAGAGTCTTTAATGCAATCCCACGGGCTCTGCCACCATCCCCTGACGCTGCAGCAGCCTCAGTGAAAATACTTCATTACTGTTGCTCCATGATGGGAGCTCAGCATCGCCCGTCATCCAAAAGGCAGGAGCCCTATTCTTTTGATTAAGTATTGCTGTTGAGTGGATGGCTAGCTCTCTCTGCAATGAGGCAGGAGGGCAGACAAAGTGTCTGTCTCCGCCTGTCATCTCGTATAGAAAACATCCTTAGAAAGAGAGAGGGATTTATGACGGAGCTGCCCTTTGAGCAAGATGGATGCTCCCTGCTCCCCTGTGCCTTGAGCCAAATCTCCAACTTATTAAGCATATTACCGTTATTACTGTTTATTAATATGAACCTTCATTTTTTAATCAAGCCATACAGAATTCTCACTGTTTGCAAAGTAGTATCAGTTTGGAGTCAAGAGTCTATATAGTCATGCTGGCTCTGTGAAGAACACAGCGCTTTGAGTTAAATGCTAACATTAGTAGCCAGTGTGCTCACAACGACAACACTAACATGATGATGTTTAGCAGGTATAATGTTCACCATGTTCACTTCGTGTTAGAATACTACCATTTGATTATTGTGGCAGAGGAAAAGTCATGGGATCATCAAAATTATTCAGCTCCATCTTCTTGCAACCCTGAATGAACATCATTTTGTGCCAATCATTCTTTTAGATACTGAGATATTTAGATGGTATACAAAACGAATAATGTCAA